GCCGGTGTGGCCTAGCCACTGGGCCTGGGCCGGCGCTGATAGGAGATGCCCGTCATAACAATGCAAGTATGCAAATATCAAAGAATACAGTTCCTTCTTTCTTTTTTCATTTGCTGTGCTTGGTCGCAGGATCGACATCCAAATTATGCTACACAACTATCTGAATTCTCATTCCTTCTGAGATTTGCACTACAAAAACATCCTATACTTTTCCTAAAAAAACAAAAAGATCCTATAAAGCCAAAGAATGCCATTGAGCAGAACAGACAACCATTTGTTATGTCGTCAATGGGATATCAACATCTAACAATAACAAATGCAAGCCTTGCTGCAAAGAATCACAAGAAAAATACTTGCTAATTCACGCATCATTTGGTGTTCCCTGTACACGCTGTGCTGCAGTTAACATTGGACTCCCTCAGTATTGCTCTTGCATAATGAGCAAAAAGAATAGCACCAAAGATTTTATACTAAAATGAGCAGCAAGGAACTGCACTTTTGCAATGCCCAGCTGCATATGGAAAAAATTCATCAAACCGTAACAAACAGTGTGAAATAATCTACATTATATCTTGGTATTCTGCAACATAACTCAGGTCTCATGCTGGCGTCCGTCAAACAACGTAGATGCTGTTATGGCAACATTGGCAGTTTATGCAGAAAGCATTTCATCCTATTCTCCTTTTGGTATTTGATTGAGCACCACCGCGTCAGAGGTGTATTTGAGTCATCATAGATACTGCAGGCCAGGAGCGATTCTGTTTATCTTCATGATAACCTCATCATTTAAGCAAAGCCCTTGAAGTCTGTGGTCCAAATGCTCAAAAATGAGTGTTGGTGCATTTCATGTCCTATATTAATCAGTGAATATTGCATTCTGTCAAGAACTTCTCTCCATTAGTCATGTACTTCCTCCAGTAGCTCTTATAATCATGTATCCCCAAGTCAAGCCAAGGTTTCATCACACCATTATAGTGCAGAGTAGCAGCCTTTTCTATATCGACGTGACTAATTCCATAATCATGTCCAAGGCCTGATTGAACCCATGAATCTTCCAAAGGATATACCAGATCTTGAAAGGCAAGTAAACTTGCAGGGAGTGCTTGCAGTCGCTGTGATTTCAGGCTGTCCTTTCGCAACTGCAAAAAAAGCAAAGTTAATATATGATATGGCAGCTGCCTTCTAGACATATGAGAATGGCAAAAGGATAGGACTAGAGCTACCACATGTAAAAAAAGGGCAGACCCAGTGCCTGAGGCTCCCACATGAGTGGGGTCTGGGGAAGGGAAAAACCGAGGCAAACCTTCCCCTCACAAAATCTGTGGAGAGGCTGCTTCGAACCCGTGACCTAACCACAAATTTTCATAAGATAACAATTGATAATTTAATGTGAATGCTGAGTTCTACTGACCTTTTCATACAAACTAGCAATGCTCATGTCCCTCCATTTATCCAATTCAATGACATTCAAGCCAGACAACCACACACATGAATTAGCATTGACATTATGGTCTGCCTTATAAGGTTTCAACTGGCCTAATCTCACTTCACAGAACTGGGCAGCACCGACCACTTTACCACCCATATCGAGGTTCCACAGAGATGATAAGTCTTTCTGGACAATCAAATCATCATCCAGAACAACTACTCTATTCAAGCTAGGAAGAAGGTCGGGCAAGAGGAAATGTGAATGGCCGAAAATAGATATGTACTCAGTTTTCATCTGCCTCTGGGAAGGATCAGAATGATTACGAATTGTGACACGAAATTCCTCTGCGGGCCATAACTGTTGCATCTCAAGGGAATGTATATCCTTAGAGAGCTTCTGGTTGTCCTCAATGTTAGTTACATGAACAGTTGCCTCCAAGTATGAATTTCTATCAAACCAATGCTTCATCTCATAAAAGTTTTGTGCATCAGTGAACAAATGGAAAACAATGTGGTCTGAGTTCTGAAATGTGTTATTGGGCATAAGTTAGTGATCAAGATGAATTCCACACAATAGTTTAGACTATTTGAAAATAATGGTATACCTGGGAGTTCATAACTGCTGAATTGATAGTGGTGGAAGCTGCAAGTACGTTCCTGGAAAATATTACATAGTGATGGAAGGTAGGACTTTCAAGCTCCTGCTCATTTAACTGATCCATATGACTTGATCTGGATTTGAAATATTCTACTGTCAATCTCATGTTCAAGCAATGGTGAGTTTTCGGCGTAGTCTGGACCCCAAGATGATATAGAAATGCACTCTGCCTTGTATGGAAATAAGCTTCATCTTCAGTTATATCAAGTAGCTGCCTAAGTTTCCGTTCAACATTCGAGCATCCTACATCACAAGACTTGGCTCTCTCAATAGTGTGCTCCATCTTCTCCAGCTTCTTTGCAAAACTGAAAAGAGTAACCAGTCATTGCCACCAGAAATATTTTGAGAAATAAAAAAAGACATTGCAGTGCATCATTTTATCGAAATTAAGTCACAAGCATCATAATTGTGTATGCTCATCCTTTATTTCTTGAAGAAATGCAGACACAGAACTAAGACAAGAAGCAAAGTCATGTTAATGGATTGCACTGGCCACATATAATTCATTTATTCAGTGCAAAAGGTTATATGAAAAATAAAGAAACACATATGATTTTAAAGCTAAGGTGAGACTAACAATGGTGGAAGATCGGCATCTGTGATGGTGTCACTCAGCATGCGTTCATGCTCTTGGATGTTTTGCTTCAGTTCACGTGTAAATCTTTCCTGTTGCTTCAATTTTGCAACACTAGGATAATGAGCTCTTGCTATAAAAAGTTGATCCTTAAGCCTCTTGACAATGGTATCCTTCATTACTTCCCTATGTTCAGTAGACCAGAGGCAGTAACTTCCATATTCATGTTCACAGGACTTGATATTGTCCTCATGCACCGTCTCTTGACCATGGTTCTCTTTCGCATCAACAGTTGTATCCTGTCACAAAACCAATTAAGTTCCCTGTGGTAGAAAAGTAAAAAAAGGATTCTGAAGGATTCACTAGTAAAAACAAAATTGGCAGCCCTGTTCTTAAAGCACAGATCCTCATAAGAGCACATGAGTCATATCCTGCACCAACAACCCGAAAACCGCTGTGGTAATATGTGAACTAATTACACTCGGCCTTCACAACAAGAGGTTTTCTAAAGAACTAATTGCAAATACATGTATGGTTATGTCTAACTGATAATATTGTAAAACATTATATGCGACACTAATGTCACCACTAAGGAATACTTGATCATACGTCCTTAGATGTCTGAGTGGTACTATGACCTTGTACATCTCGCAGGACCTAAAAAGCGCAGAGTAGATAAAAAAATTCTTCAGTAACTTTTTTCACCAAGGAATAATGGATAAATCTTTTTTTTAGATAATGGGTAAATCTTATAGAAGGTGAAAAAACATACAGTATGTTTAAGGGACACAATTGTACATTGCATTGCACCACAATATATATTGTTACCTGATTTAAAGTACTTATAAAGAAAACTATCTTACTAGCAGATGTGAATGTGCAAAATGTAGCCAATCAACTTTATTTGTAAAATCTCACTGAAAGTTGAACCCACAGAAACAACATACAGGATTATTACTGATGCCAGACTGATGGACAACAATAATCCTATCATCACATTTGTGTTTACTGTATATATTCATGAAAATTGTTGACTATGAAGCCCCAGTGATAAATGGTCACGTCAATAGAAGCAAAACAAATTGAGCTCACCATTTTGTGCATGGTAAGCCCTTGAGGCTACTCGCTATTTTTTCAAATATGAAAAATGAAGAGCTGCAGACTACTGAATTCTAAATGTAGGGAAATAAGAGGTTGCAGTTACCTTTGAACTCCAGGACAAGTCCTTCAATTGATACCTTTTGGGGGTACGGGGTCCTGAAATACGACTGACTACAGTAAGATGGATACTAGCAACATCTCACGCTGTTTGTACTCTCCTAACGCTTACCTTTACTTTTGAAGGTGTCATTATTTAGTTCAATTAAAGAGAAAGCACCCTTGAACTTTGTTTTTGATTTGATAGCATGATCCTTGGTAGATTTTGATCTAGTAGATCTCTCAGCGAAATCCCATTAGATCCAGACACCTTTTGGAAACATCCTGGATACACAGTCAGAAAAGAGAGGAGGTCAGTCAAGATTGAAAAGAAAACATCAGACATTTCAGTGCAGCAGTCTCTTGATGATGGTTTTAGGTGAGCCAGGAAACGTCAACGTGGCAAAGCGATCCATCTAGCTAGATAGTTGTGCAGCAGTTTGCAGATTTGAGCAAAGTTTCATCACCAGCATTGGGCCACACTGCACACAACCAATTGATCTATTTTGATTTCAGTAGTTACTACTGAAAAAATATATATATTTAGTGAATCACTGCTAACTCAGAGGATATCTAAGAAATAAATATTTCGTGTCCACTCTTCAAATTCAGTTATGGACTGACACAAAGGTGATTACAGAAAATAGATAACAAGGCAAATCAAATTGGGAAGGTACAGCAAGAGGGCATCTTGCCAGCAACAGCAGTTTTGTGTACATTTCATCAGAGGCATGGCATGTCAAGGCATGATGAAAGAAACAATTTTAGGTTGCCACCCACCTACTCCAAGAATAGCAAACTGAGGCATGGGCATGTCAAGGCGTGACGAGAGAAACAATTTCGAGTTGCCACCTCCACCTATTCTAAAGAAAGCAACTTGAGAATGGAGACAGAGGCGGTAGGTTGTTAAGCGTCACAGCACGGCAGCACGGAGGCAGCGGCGGATGTCCGCACGACACGCGCAGACGCACGCGAGCCGCATGAACGCACTAAAATCAATTAATTTCTCCCCGAATGCGGGCCGGCAAAAAAAAAAGAATTCAACTTGATCACTGTCTCTGACATATAAAACACACAAACAAAATGCTCCACCACTGCACTGCCTCTTGAGCAGTCAGCAGTGTAGCAGGCAGGGATTGTAACCTTGAGCAGCTTGTGCTTCATGGCGCCCCCATTCTCCAGATGCCGCATGCCACGCGCCCCGACGCCAGCCAGCTCCTAGCAACCCCAAGCACAACCAAGGCGTGAGGATTTCAGAAGCTAGGACTCGGCTAAACTTCTTTGAGGACGGTGTAATTAATAAAAAAAAATAAGAAATTTCTGCACGGGGAGAGTGGAGAAGCTTACGTTGCTGATGACCACGGCGGCGCGGTCGTCCGATCCATATCCTGCTGCAAGCAACAACACAACACGGAGCACGCAACGCGACACGCGGAGGGTTAGAAGATCAGCGAGAAAAGGGAGGGGGAGACGACAGATCCGAGGCGCGGACGCACCGGCAGGGCGGTGGAGGACGAGGAGGTAGACGAGCGGGAGCAGCGTGGAGCAGACGACGAGCGCCGGCACGGCTGCCGCCAGCCCGCTGCAGCGGCGCTTGCTGGGCGGCGGCGGCAGCAGCGGAGAGGACGACTGGTGCTGGTGCCCCTTCATGCCGTGGTCGTGGCCGTGCTAGTGGCACTGGCACCTGCTCTGCTCTGCTCCAGTGCTCCTCAACGGAGCGCTGCCGCCAGCCGGGGCCGGAGCCGGGAGGTCAGTGCTGGGTCTGGTGGTGAGGTGGTAATGCAGTTGCTTCCCGCATTAACTGCAAGAAACAAGCTAAAGCTTCCTCGGGCTTCGCGCGTTTAAGCCAGCGGCGTTGTCTGGAACCAACCAGCCAGCCCCCGCGCCGCGCCGCTATGCACCAGGCGGGCACCAGGCATCAGTGGAGTGGAGACTGGAGAGCGGGAGACTGGTGGGAAGGAAGGCTGAGGGTGAGGGAGGAGAGCCGGAGAGGAGCGGCCTCAGTGGAGCCCGCCGGCCGACCGACCAGGGCCCGCGTCTGCCTTTGCAGTTTTGCTTAGGACGCGTTTTGGATGCTTAGGGCGCGTTTAGTTGGCGAAAATTTTTTATTTTAGCTATTTGTTTCTATTTGGTAATTAGTGTCTAATTATGGACTAATTAGGTTTAAAAGTTTCGTCTCGTGATTTTTCACCCAGTTGTGCAATTAGTTTTTTTTTCTACATTTAGTACTCTATACATGTACCACAAGATTCAATATGACACTTTATTGTGAAAATTTTTGAAAACTAAACAATGCCTTAAACGCAGGTGCTAAAGTTTAGGACGTTACGTTCAATATCACGTGGAGCTGTCACGTCAAGTGTTCTAATACACGAAGTGTTCTAATAATAGGGGCTGTTTAGTTCAGAGACTAGAGACTAAAGTTTGGTTCCTAACATATCGGACGTCATATGCTAATTAGGAGGACTAAATATAAGTTAATTATAAAACTAATTACACAGACGAAGACTAATTTATAAGATGAATCTATTAAGCCTAATTAATCCATCATTAGCATATATTTACTGTAGCACCATATTATCGAATCATAGACTAATTAGGCTGGCCATGTTCGGCTTGCTGAAACTTAACTAAAAGTGGCTGAAAAACACAGTTCTGCTAAAATATTGTGAGAGAAAAACACTGTTCCGGCTGGAAAAAAAAAGCCGAATAAGCCGAATATAAGGTAAGCCGAACAGGGCCTTAATAAATTCGTCTCGCAAATTAGTTTCAATCTGTGCAGTTAGTTTTGTAATTAGTCTATATTTAATACTCTAAATTAGTGTCAAACGTCCGATATGATAAGGACTAAAATTTAGTTTGTGGAACCAAACACTCCCTTAGATTCACCTTCTAAACTTTAGTCGCTGTCCTATCGGATGTTTGGACACATGCATGGAATATTAAATATAGACTAATTATGAAACTAAATGCACAGATTGAGACTGTTTTGTGAGACGAATTTTCTAAGTCTAGTTAGTTCATAATTTGACAATGTCGTGCTATAGTAAATATGTGTTAATGATGGATTGATTAGGATTAATAAATTCGTCTCGCGGATTACTGACGGATTATGTAATTTATTTTTATTAGTATCCGAACACCTCATGCGACATACCTAAACTTTAGTCACTACATCCAAACACCCCCTAAAACAAATTACATAAGTCCTCATCAATCCGCAAGATGAATTTATTAAGTCTAATTAATTCATCATTAGCACATATTTTCTGTAGCATAACATTGTCAAATCATGAACTAATTAGACTTTAAAAATTTATCTCATAAATTAATCGCAATCTATATAATTAATTACTCCATACATGTATTCAAATATACAATGTGATAGAGGCTAACTCTAAGGGGAAACTAAACAAGACCATCCCCAATCTCTGCCGTCCTTTTCCATCCTTTGTTTCATGCCGACGGGAAAAAAATACAGGGACAGCTCGTCAAACTCTCATTTAAACTTTCTTCTTCTTTTGTTTTGTTTATTGCTCCCTCTTCTCTGTATAATCAGTTTTTGGAGTTATCAGAAACTAAATACTTTTAAAGTTAATTCAATTTATAGAAAAAACATTAAGATCATTAAATTAGCATCATTAGATTAGATATAATATACAATATATTTTCATAATATCATCATTTGGTGCTATAAATATTTATACTCTTTTCTATAAATTTAATTACACATAAAAATATTCAACTTAAGACAAATATAAAATCGATTTATTTAGATACGAAGGTACACCTCTTTCCAGAAAAGAATGTAATTATAGGATCCGTGTCAGTCAAAATAGCTCAAGTTGGACCAAATTTGTATAAAATAGTATTAATATTTATGTCTCAAAATAAATTTATTATAAAAATATATTCTATGACTAATTTAATGATACTAATTTTGTATCAAGAATGTTAGTATTTTTTATATAATTCTGATCAAAATTTAAACCGATTGACTCATCGGGAAGCGAGAATTGTATTCTTTTTTGTGTGGACGGAGCGAGTAGTATCTATCCCTCGTCAAACATAATGGTGCATATTATTCTTCAACGGCATTGATGCGTACACCCTCGGCATCCAAAATAGATGATCTTATGACATTCAAATTTTATCCTATAAAATACTTAATTTTCTCAGCATCGTTGGTACGTACTCCCTCCGCCCCTGAAACAGATGATTCTATTGCATTTAAATTTTGTCTCAAAATACTTGACCCTCTCTTTTTCTAATGTACATTCTCTTTTACCAATGGATCTAGGGCCTGTTCGGCTGGTATTAAAGTCGGTTGAAGCTGTTTTGTTGTGAGAGAAAAATACTGTAGATTCTAGCTGATAAGCCGGCTGATAAGTTCAAGCGAACAGACCCTCTATCTCTATTTTGTGTGGGGTATTTTAGTCTGTTGGAAACGTTGATTTTCATGAGTTATTCTAAAACATCCTTTAATATGGGACGGAGAAGTATGATTGAGCAAGTAATAAAAATTCAATAGGTCAAAGTATGATTCTTCATTCACTATCATGTATAAAAGAAAAGGGAGAAGCGACTTGTAGTATTGAGTCGTGAGCAGCCCAAGCTTAAGGGTTGGTTGCTCTTCTTTTGGGCGGCAGGTGCTTGGTCTCTCCAGCCTTGGCTTTGATAAGTTCGACTAGCACAAACGTCTCATCCCCCCTATATGTTTGTCCTATAAACATAAAATTATTCTTGTGAAATTCATATACCGATATACGAGTTTTATGAAATCGCTGCATTTCAAAGTGCCCAAAAGTCTAAAAATCTATAAGAGGACAACTGTAAACATCTCCATCCAACTAGCATGCTACGGTTTTACTGCGTCTACTGGCGACTGTGATCTTTTTTGGCAGCATTTGTGGATCTACTTGACCTGATTTGCCATTGGATGGTCCTTGTTCACGTGCACATGCCGTGCCAGTGTAGCCGTCTCTCTCTCTCTCTCGCTCCAGTTTCGCGGTTTTCAGCCATCACCCATGCAATGCATACGCATTTCCCCATCTACCAACCGTCGACGACCGTGGTCCGTGGATTCCTTTCTCTACTGCAACTACTCACAGGCACAGCACGCCTAGAGCGTCCCCAACAGCAGGGGCAACTATGTCAAGGACTTCAAATATTTTTAGAAACTTACGAGATACTTTCTCCGTGCTAAAATAGATCTCACCTTTTGAAACCAGCAAAGAAACCAATTTTGTCCGGCTTTGATAGTTGGGGGGCGTCCGTTACCTGTTTTTTAGTTTAAAACTAAAAAACAGACCAATTATTGAAAACTATACTTTACCTTTAAAATAAACAAGGTTAAAAATCCAATTTATAATACTCCCTCCATCGCAACATATTATAATTGTAGTACAGTGTCATGTTTAGTATGTCAAGCTTGACCAATTTACATTAAACAATATAAATAGCCATAACATCAAATAAATATCATTAGATTTGTTATGAGATATATTTTTATAATATATTTTTTTAGTGTCATAATCATTAATATTTTTGTTTATATATATTTGATTAAATTTTGAATGCACGCAGCACTCTTCTCAGGACAGAGGTGGCTTGCAGAAACTAGTACGGCCAGTAGAAGCTCTGCATACACGCACGCATATCATCGTGTATGGCCTTGTTTAGATTGCGGTTAGATTTTAGTATTTGGTACTGTAGTATTTTCGTTTGTATTTGATAATTATTGTCTAATCATGGCCTAACTAGACTCAAAAGATTCGTCTCGTAATTTACAATCAAACTGTGTAGTTAGTTATTTTTTTATCTATATTTAATACTCCATGTATGTGTCAAAGATTTGATGTGATGAAGAGAGAGTGAAGAAACTTGCAATTTAAACAAGGCATAGAGTGGAAACTTTCACTCTATGCCTTGTTTAAATTGCAAGTTTCTTCACTCTCTCTCCATCACATTAAATTTTTGGACACATGCAGCCTGTTCGGGAGGCCGTACCGTATCGTGGATTATTTACTGCTGGCTGGTTTGGTATGAGAGAAAAACATTGTTCCCGGCTGAAAATTTACGATCGTTTACGAACAAACAAACAGGCTGATGCATGGAGTATTAAATATAGATAAAAAATAACTAATTACACAGTTTGATTATAAATTACGAGACGAATCTTTTGAGCCTAGTTAGGCTATGATTGAACAATAATTATCAAATATAAACGAAAATACTACAATATCAAATACTGATTTCTAACCTCAATCTAAACGAGGCCCAGCTTACCAACACGCTTGATTCAAGGCCAGTGTCTGTCAGTCTGTCGTGTCGACCTGCATCAGACACGAGAGTGTATTACTAAGGCCTTGTTTAGCGGGGTGAAGTTTGTAAATTTGGTCACTGTAGCATTTTTATTTTTATTTTATAAATTAGTATTTAATGATGGATTAATTAGATTCAAAACGTTCGTCTCGTAATTTCTAACTAAACTGTGCAATTAGTTTTTTTCGTCTATATTTAATGCTATATACACGTATCGCAAGATTTAATGTAATATCTACTATAGCAGTTTTTGAGAAAATTTTTTGAAACTAAACACGGCCTAAATAATATTCAGTCCCCGGCACTCTCCGCTCCACCACCGTCCC